CATGGGGCCCAGGAATGCCTTGCAAAGCCGGTTCGTGGGAAGAAGCCCCCTTCCCCCACCCACACTGCAGGCAGAGCTGGGCGGCTGCCCATGGAGACAGCACTGACAGCCCTTCCCCCTTCCTCCCCCCACCCAGGACTTTAAGGGATCTGCCCCAGGTTCTGATCCCATAGAAGAAGGGATGCTGAGGCAACTCCCCCACAGAGCCTAGCCTGACCTGGGATGGCTGCGCTTGCCAGCCCGGCCACTGCAGTCCCATGTCCCATGTCTCTCCAGCAGTCCCCTCTCCTCCATGCTAGGTCAGAATGGTCAGTGATGAGCAGGGGAGCCAAGGTGTGCGTGTGAGTGTGTGTGTGTGTGTGTGTGTGTGTGTGGTGGGAGGGTGGTAGTGCTGGGCTCATTCAGTTTACTAGTAATTGGCTGGTGATGTTGAACATATCACTTGTCCTTCGGAGTCTGTGACACCTGGGAAGTAGATGGCTTAGCACGAAGGCCCACCTCTAAAGCCCTTTGAACTCTGACCTTCTGGACTTTCAAAGCCCCCCTCAGGCTGCCCCGCTGCTCTGCTGCCCTGAGAACATCCGAAATCAGAGCCCACGTGCACCCAGCCCCGCGTGTGCTGGCTCTCGAGCCCAGGAGGCTTCTGTGCTCGAGTTCCAAAATGGAGTCTGGAGGAAACGCTAAGTGTTGCTTCAAGTGCACATGACTACTAAGTGTTAAAGCAGGAATTGGATCCAGATCTGCCTGCCTGAAAGCCTGTTCTCCCAGCCTCTCTGCTGTCCTCCCAATCTGGGGGGCCTCCAGGAGCCACCATGGTGACCTCTCCCCTGTGGCCTTCAAGGCTCAAGGACCAGCAGGGATGGTCTCTCCTCAGAACCAAGTGGAAGGGAAGGTGGCCCATTTCAGGGCCTCGAGCTGACACTCTCCCTCAGAGACAGGCATTCAGGGTCTCCTACCCCGCCCAGTGTGGCGCCAACAGAAGGCTGATGGAGATGCCTGGTGGCTGTGACAGTCCGTAATCCCTCCACCCCAGGGCCCCTCTGCTCCTCACACATGCTTCCCAGCGGCTCCGGGAACGGTGCCCACGAATAAAACATTGTCACCATGCCAAGGCCTCGTCACTAGCAGCCTCTGCCAGCAAAGTCCAGCCCAGAGGAAACCAAATATTTAAAGGTGAACTTTAAAGAGTAAATCTTGGTTTCGAACACCGAGCACAGTTTTGACATGACACGTGAGCTTTCTACACTCCCTTGTGTTCTGTTTGGAGAGAGGAGGATCCACATTAAATCCACATTTCTCCAGAAGTCTTGTTTTAATGAGCTCTAAAGAGGAAAGTATTAGCAAGCACTCCCAAGCACTGGCAGTCTGAATTTTCCTCTGTCTCGGCCAGTCCTCCATCCTCTCTCCCGGAGAACATCCTGACCGCCTTAGCAACCTGCAACCCCAGGACAAGAACGCAGAGGCACGCAGAGGGAGGGGACTGGCATTCCTCGAGGCCCTTCCTAGGGCCAGGCACTTCCCCAGGGAAGTGTGCTGGTGGGTGTAATTCCATTTATTCCTCACCAGCCAGTGGTAGCAGAGTGCATTTCACAGGAGATGCCGAAGTGTAGAGCAGCTAAGCCACTTGGAGAGGAAAGCAAGGTGGCATTTCAACTGCTTGCCCTCTTTCCACGGCCACGCCTCCATGCAGAGCTTAGGGGCGCCTGAGCGGGGTGGGGTAGGAGCAAAGCTGTTGAGATTGGAGCTGGGGTTTGAAGGCGGCTGAGGGACTTGAAAATTCCACGGTGAGCACAGACGCTGAGGCAAATGGCCTGTGCTAAGGCAGAGAGGCAGGGATGGGGGAGAAATGTCCTCACTGGGCATGGTTGATTGTGTGCTAGGATTATTTCAGGAACACTTCTAATTTCTCTGAACAAGTCCACTTGGGGCTATTGTGTTCCTTAATATGGAAGGGGCTATGCAATGGCTTCTTGCAAATATTTTGTCTGAGAAAATATTTCTCCCCCTGGAAAAGGCTGAGAAATTTTCATTCCTTAAAAGATGAGACCCAGAGCCTCTTATAGTTCCCACGTTGCCTCGGTTTCCTAAACACCGAGAACCAAATTGCAAGCCCGTTTGTGTTGGGCAGCCACCTTGTATAGGGAGTGGTTAGCATATAAACTAGGAGTCTGACTATGTAGTTTGAGATCCCAGCTCTGCCACTTCCTGGCTGTGCCACTTTGGACAAGTGGTACAATCATAGTATTTACCTCCTAGGGTCATGTGAGGATTCAATTAGCGAATGCACAGAACACTCAAAAATGTAAAATCACATTCCTTTGACTTTCCCTTCCTTCTTTCCTATTCTCTTCAGCACTTACTGCTAAATTTTACTTATTTTGCTTATTATTTGTCTCCTCCCATTAGATGTTAAGTTACACAAGGGCAGGGATTTTTGTCTATTTTGTTCTCTGCTACATTCTCAGAGCCTAGAATGATTCCTGGCATATAATCAGATGCTCTATAAATAAGTATGAAATGAATGAACCACTCTAAAACACTTAGCAATGCCTGGCATATGGTAAGTGCTTAGTAAATATTACTTTATATCTCTCTTTAAATCACACCCATATTCCGAGCATCTGCAGATCATGTCAGTTCTGAACATGATCCCTATCACTGGCTCCACTGCCAGCATTCCAGCCCAAGTCCCCTAGGCCTCACCAGGACACCTGCAGGAGGGACCTAACTTTGATGCCAGAGACTCACAGGGAGGCCATGGGAGGCCTCAACCCTGTGGCAGTGTCCAGGTTCTTGTCTCCATGCAAGAAAGAATTCTAGAATGAGACAGAAAGATTCGGTAAAGCACAGATGTTTTATTAAAGCGAGAGTACACACTCAGGAATGAGTCTCCCCGAAGGGTCTCAGGGGCTAGGCTTATATTTGGGGCTGGCCAGGAGGAACTCATAAGGGTGTGGATCTGCACAGTGTGGAGGCAGAGAGAGCCAGGCACCACCTTCCCATGGGAGAGGGAGATCTTATCCTTATTTGGCATTTTCCAGAACTGTCTAGGTGGTGGTTGCCATACAGATGGGGAGGGAAGAGGCGAGTACCTCAATCTAGCTAACCTGCCTCAACTCGATTCCTTGGCTCCATTCTTGCTCTCCAAAGCCAGGATCCTGAAACTCCCCTCTGTAGCTGCAATGATCCTCTAAAACAGGGATCCTCAAACTACGGCCCGCGGGCCACATGCAGCCCGCCGAAAACATTTATCCGGCCCACCGGGTGTTTTTGCCGCCGCTGTGTGCATAGGAATTTGTTCATAGTTTTTTTTTAAACTATAGTCCGGCCCTCCAACGGTCTGAGGGACAGTGAACTGGCCCCCTGTTTAAAAAGTTTGAGGACCCCTGGTCTAAAATATAGGTCA